CCACAGAGACTGGTGAAACGTTAGGAAGAAAAACCTTGAGGATTCATTATAACTCTTTTGTTGTTTGCTCAGTCAAGTCACTTGCAACTTTTAACAATCCTACTAGGATTTTCAATGTACAGTGGGGTCTTGACTTGAGAACTTAATCCGTATTGGAAGGCGGTTCTCAAGTCAAAAAGTTCTCACGTCAAATCTGCATTTCCCATAGGAATGCATTGAAAACCATTTGATCCGTATCTGCTCTTTTCCGTCCATAGAAACTAATGGGAAGCTGCTATTCCGCCTTCGACCACTAGAGGGGGATATTTTGTTTCTTTTTTTCTTAGGTCAAGAAAGGTTCAGGGAAGGCAGGGAAAATACAGTCCAGGCAGTACAGTACCAGGCAGTCCGAAGACTGTCTCCCAATCCACTCTCTAAACGCTGGGAGGAGTGAGGAAGCAGACAGGCACCCTTTTCACTGGCCAACAGTTAACTGAAAGTTCACATTTTGCACTTTCCCTGCCTCCCACGTGGGTTTTTTTTTCAGTTCTTAACTCAAATCTAAGTATGTAAGTCAAGTCAATATTTTCCTATGAGAGTGGTTCTTAAGTCAAAATGTTCTTAACTCAAGCCGTTCTTAAGTCAAGACCCCACTGTATGTATGATGTTCAAGGAGTGGGTTACTATTGCCACTCTCCAATTCCAAGACTGAGCAGGAATTTGAACTCAGATTTCCTAGTCTGACAGTCTGTCCACTAAACCACACTGGCATTCAACTGCCCAACATATAATCAATTTACGGCATTCTTTGCCACTGGACATCTCAGTAGCCTCCTGTCTCCATGTTTCTTAAAGGGGGTTACCCAAGTTCATTTATAACAAAAAAGATCCCTCCCTCCCTCCCCTTCTCTCTCTCTCTCTCTCTCTCTCTCTCTCTCTCTCTCTGCCACACACACACATTCTTCCCATAGCTACAAAACCATGACACCTAGAGACCTGAAAATTGGGATGCTTACCAAAGGGGCTCTGAGTAATGCACCTTGCATAATTTGCTTGAAAATTTGTTATTTTTTGTTAATATTCTTTATTTTAATTTAAATCCTTCTATCTCATCTTCCATCAGTAAACAGATAACTTTCCTTAATCAACAGAGAGGAAATCACATTTAGTCCTAGACTATTAAGTCCTTCAGGGGGCATCTGGACCAACTGTCTGCAACCATTGCTCCCATCTGCCAGGCCACTCAACTCTTCAAAAAGCTATAAGGAATATTGAATGTAAGGAAGAAAGAGCCCTGTTCTCCAGTAAGCAGGGTGAAATGTGTGCAAAGGGAAAGGTTGAATAAGCCCTAGAGTGGCAGGAGAAAAACATCAACAAGAA